TACATAAGTCAACATCCATGCAACACAGGGTCAGCAGTAAAATATATTCTGCCTTTTGTGGTGTAAACAGATATAAAATCAATTGTGCGTCATATTCCTTGTTCGAGGAGTGGCCCCCATGAAACTGAGCACATCTGTGGAGATACGTCTTCTACTTCATGTGTCTCTGTCCCCACTCAGTGGTTATTAAGATCAGTTCCGTGAAAGCCACGTGGTCATTTACCATCTGTCATCTCAGCACCAGTTTCTGCCCAGGGCTTCCTACCCAGCTCACTGTCCCCACTCACCTTCCCCATCCCCACTGGGCATAAATAAAAAGACCCTGCTTCCAATTTTGCAACCAAAGTAATTGCCAGTCACTTGGGAAGGGGGGGGAAAGTGGAAAGATAGAGGTTCTGGAATAATGGGGGTGCACTCCTCGCTTCCCCCTCCACAAGTCCTCTGTGAAGGTGAAGAGACGTTTACCTGTGTTGTCAAGAGCAGGTGCTCTGTGGAAGGAACGCCCGACTGGGATGAACCATGGAGAGTCTTTCGCCAAAGGAACTGGGGGAACTGCCTGAGAAAGTTAGGGGTCTGATGGGAGATTTACCACATGGACAGAACTCTCTCATTTTGGCACTGGGGGGTCCCTCGCCAGCAACAGGGCTGCAGTTGACAGGGAGGTGGGCCAGGCAGCCTTCCTGTTTAGGCGACAGCTTGTTGGAGCAAGTGACCAATTGGCACAACTGGAAATCCGTGCCTGATGCCTGTGATAATCAGTCTAATATTATATTCACAAGGGAGAATATTCAGACAAAAGTCATAAGTAGGATGAAAGTGAAAAACTGAACACGAAGAAGGAGGGCCTGATTCCAGAGGAAGTAGAGGGAAGGTTAGGAATCTGTGGTGAGTGACCTTCGAGAAATTCGAGGAGACGTCACATCTATAAAACAAGAAGAGTGCCCCTTGGAAAAGGAGAAACCTGAGGACTTGAGCAAACTAGGTGTCTTGAGCAATGAAAATAGATTGCAAAAATTAGGGAAAAGAGGGCAGTTGAGCTGTCAGATAAATTTAAGAAATTTCTAAGAGCACGAAGTAAAAGGGTACATTAAAAATAAGAAAGAAAAGGTAAAAAACAGAAAATTTATTCAGGATATTGAAAATTCCACAAAAAATGTGTATGAAGAAAGAACTTTATCAAAGAAACTGTACAAGGGGGGAAAAAAACCCCAAATAAGTAGCTTAAGCAAATCCAGGGAGGAAAATGGCTCACACCTGATTTGTGAACAGGAAGGAGGGTTGGGCCATCTGAACTTGATAGTGTAAGAAATAAAGTTCAAGAATTTATCTAAAATGACAAATATTACATGTAAATAATAAAAAGTAAAAAAAAAAAGCACCAAATTTTAACAGTGTGAGTCAGTAGATGGTCTTTAGAATGGAGAATCAAGAAATATAGAACGAATACAGTATTTACAGTCATGGGAACAAGAATTAAAAATGACTAGAGGGCCCTGGCCGGTTTGGCTCAGCGGTTAGAGCGTCGGCCTGCGGTCCGGAGAGACCCGGGTTCAGTTCCCGCTAAGGGCACGTACTTCGGTTGCAGTTTGTCCCCGGCCCTGGTTGGTCGTGCGGGTGGCAGCCACTCGATGTGTCCCTTCACGTCGATGTTTCTCTCTCTCTCTCCCTTCCTCTTTCTCCCTCCCACTCTATCTGTACAAAAAATGGAAAAATATCCTCGGGTGAGGATAAAAACAACAACAACAACAACAACAACAAAATGACTAGAGGTGTCTGCCTCTGAGAAGCACAGGGAAGTGAGGAGCCTGGGAGAATATTGTTTTTCATTCCTAAGTTCTCTCTGTTTGAATTTTTACCACATGACTACATTCATTTGATAAAAGTGGTAACTGTTCAGAAGTGTACTTTTTTGCTATCATATTTCTCATAACGGCTACAAAAGGGTCTGAGGCTCATAAATGAAATGGACTTTACATGAACTAATTGATGTGGATAAATCGGCAGCTCACCAAAAAATGCAGGAGATTCTATCATTTTATTTCAAAATAAACTTAATTTTGCGATATTATAGTATGTATCAACTAGAATAAGACACATCTCTCCATCTAGAGTTACTTAGTTTACTTGAACAACTGAACTAGAGTTAAGATTAAATGGCACATCAACTATAAGTAAATAAATATTTTAAAATGTTTCTGTTAGTAATTTTGCCTATTTCTCCATAATCTCTTTTTTTTAAATCCTCACCCAAGGACATTTTTTCATTTTTTGTTCAGACAGAGTGGGAGGGAGAGAGAGAGAGAGAGAAACATTGACGTGAAAGGGACACATTGAGTGGCTGCCACCCGCACAACCCAACCAGGGCCAGGGACAAACTGCAACCGAGATATGTGCCCTTAGCGGGAACCGAACCCGGGTCTCTCTGGACCACAGGCCAACGCTCTAACTGCTGAGCCGAACCGGCCAGGGCTGTAATCTCTTTTTAATCAACATGTTTGTTAAATCATCTCTTTATAGCAGGAAAGTAAACTTCAGGAATGTATTCTTCAGTGTTCATAAATCACTAATTAGTGAAGCTTTACCTTGTAAAGTCTCACTTTCATGTAATAAACTCAGTTCACGGTCATGTACTAAATTGTCTGCACACAAAGCAGTGTATTCACGGGCAGTTTTAAGTACCATTTTCCCACAAGTGTTTGTAAAACATTACTGTTTTCCAAGGGAAGTCTTTGAGTATCCTAAGAAAGTGGAAAGATACTGAAAAATCACAGCTCCAGAGCTGAGAAATATTGAAAACTCCTCACCAAGTCATAAGGACGTGTGCTTTTTGGGGTTAGAAATATATTGCACAACAAAGAGGAAACATGAGTTGGTGTCTCCCCCACCCCCGCCCCTTCCTCTCTTCCTTCACATCCATGGGTCAAACCAGGCTCATTTAAAACTATGTTATCCTGGACTCTGGCAAACAAATCTATGACACTCCACCTTTTGTAGTTTGCCACGAGTTTGTTTCTGTGATCCTAGAACGCTGTGCACATAACTCTTCACACATTTTACATTGTATCATTGTATTTACACTTTTCTTTGTGCTCACCCCCCACTGGGATGGAAAACTCATGCAGGCAGCTGCTTTGTCTCTTGTTCTCCGGTTTTTCCAGCACCCAGGATGGGCTCTGGTGCTGGTGGGCCCTCAGTGAGTAATTTACAAATGAAACAGCACGACTACTAGTAATAGCACTTGTTATGGGCGAGGAATCTCTCTAAGTGCTTGTCCACATGAACACATGTAACCTTCAAATGACTCTCTTGGTGGGTACTACTGTGGTCCCCAGTCTCAGCCAGACTGAGCGGCCTGAGGTCACACCTCTAGTTGCCGGTGGAGCTGGGACTGAAACCTACGCAGTCGCTTTTCGCCTGCACCACTGTCACTGTTTCCCGGGCGGTCACGTCCTGAGGCGGCTGTATCTTTTCTTTCACCCCTGATGCGTGCAGAATGGTGCCCAGTAGGTAGGTGCATCTGATTACTGTCTGCTGGGGGCTGGGCAGGAGAAGGGCCACGCCCGCAGGGGGTGTTGACCGAGGGTGCTACGCCATGTGCTGCACAAGAGGCAGATGCCATCAAGTGTGAAGAAAGGGTGATGGGTGCCGCCAAATACAGTACCAGGGTGTTGTCAACTAACGAAACCACCTTTGACTTAGAACATGGACCTTATAAGGTGATTAAAGTGATTTGACCTTTCAAGCATTTTATGTACTTTATCCCATTCACCAAATTACACTGGGAGGAGGCGTTTTTATTTCTGCTTTAAAAGATGCCAAAATGGAAAGGGTAAGTGACAAAGCCTCTGGCTGCAATGGAGACAGCGTCCTGAGGGCTGTGTGCCCACGTGTGTCCTCGCATGGGACGGCCCCGGGAGAGTCCCTGGGGTCTGGGACGATGGGACATATACCAGCCGCCTGGTTTTAAATGGATTTTTAACACAAATATGTTTGGATATCAGGTAGATGGTCCTTTTCAAGTCTTGGACTTCTCCTACATATGCAGAATATGTGTGTGAAACTCAAATAGCTCAAAGTCAGTTATTTACACAGTAATCATTCTGTAGCATGTTGTTTCCAATTCATGCCAAATGCTGGAGTAAAAACAGTTAAATTTAAAGAACCAGCTGGTTAGTTATTATGAATAGGTCAGTGATGTTCTCACTAGTACCGATTGCTTAAATTCAACCATGATTTTCTCCCACCTTGGCTTATAAGAGCGGCCACAACCTTGGCCGTCGAGGTCGACGGCTTCCTTTGGCTCTGTCATTTGTACCTGAGGGTGGACATCTGTCTGTGAGCATTGTGAGTGGGGGTCCTGGCAGAAAGGGGTGCATTCAGTCTCCTGTGATAGGATTCTCAGGGGATCTGCACCTCAACGGGAGGGGCTCACAACTCTCAGGTGAATTGGAGTCTCTGGACTGGGCCACCCTTCTGCGAAGAGGAAATGCACTGAGGGAGGGAAGAGGAGGGAGGGAAGAGAAGAGAGGGCAGAGAAGGAAGCCTGGCTCAGCAGCCTGGGGTGACTTATTGGGTGGCCCGGCCTGGCCATGCATTCCAGCTTTTACAGGTTCCTCCAGCATTGCACACTCTTCCTGACAACGAGGTGGTACCAGCCAGTCCTTAGTTTACCTTTCATGGAAATCGAGAGAGGCCTGTGCAGAGGAGGCTTTAGGGAGTTGTGATTACATCTACTAAGCAAAGGTACCAGCCAGTCCTTAGTTTACCTTTCATGGAAATCGAGAGAGGCCTGTGCAGAGGAGGCTTTAGGGAGTTGTGATTACATCCACTGTGGTTTTGCTGGTCCCACACGGGTTTGTCACTGATCCCTCTGTGTCTAGTTTTGTTTTCTTTTTCATGTCTTCGGATGGGAGGGAGAATCCTTTGCTTCCTAAGATCAGGCACACGCTAATTTCCTCTCCTTGAGATGAGAATCCCACAGCAAAAACAGGAGGCGTTACCTTTGGTCATGACGATCCCTGCCAGAGCTCTGTGGCGGGCGTGCGTGGACGCCAGGCCCACGGTCAGCTCTCGGAACTTCTGCGTGACCATCTGGGACACAGAGTCGGCGAATTCCTGCAAGACACAAGCACCAGGCTGCTTTGACGCCAAGCGGTTCACGCTCACGTCCTCCCCTCCTCAAAGCCACGTGCCCATGTGCAGAGTCTGAGGTCACCTGTCGCACAGCTCCCCACCACTGCATGCACCGTCCCCTGATACCGGATCGACTGTGGGCCCTGATTCTGAGGAATTAACCGCCAGCTTGGCCCCTGGGTAGGAGCCTGCCTGTGCCCAGCAGAACCTTTGCAGGGAAACCGGCATGTCCGCCCTCTCCCCACCTCTCAGAGGAGCAAGCTCAGCTGTGTCCTGAGGAGAGCCTGGGGGACCTGCATATGGGACACTTGGTTCTCACTTTCTGCTTCCTTTTTTTAAAAATTCCTCATCTGAGGATATTTTTCTACTTATTATCAGATAGAGTGGGAAGGAGGGAGAGAGAGAGAGAGAAAACCATCGATGTGATAGAGCCACATCAACTGGTTGCATCCTACATGACCCGACCAGGGCTGGGGACAAACTGCAACCGAGGTATGTGCCCTTGACTGGAATCGAAACCGCGGCTCAGTGGTCCAGGGGCCGACACTCTAACGGTTAGGGTCTAACTGCTGAGCCAAACTGGCCAGGCCTGCTTGCTTTGGCAGAGCCAGTTTCTAAGTGCCCCACTTGTCTCTGGGATTTTCTTGGCTGAATTGCTCCTTATGGCTCGCTCACGACCTCTTCTCTTCATACTTATGCACACATGCACATGCATGGACACATGCACACACAGAGACACATGCACAGAGATTCTTCACAGATGCATGCACACACATGTACACATGTATGCACACACAAACACAATACACACCGACACACATTCAGATAGCACATACACACAGCACACACATACCTGCACACATGCACACACACATAAAGACAGACAGACACACACACACACACACACCAATTTGATATAATCCCGGTTGTTGAGTTCCCCTGAAGTGACCTCGTATGTCTGTCAAAGCAGCGCGCGTGAAATGACATGGCTGGTGTCGCCCAGAGCGTGTGGCTCTGCCATCTCCCTTCCTCTGTTCCATCTGTCCGCGGCTGACAAGTTGTACTTCTGCACACGGCCGTCACTACTTTTTGTGGGAGGTGGTGGGGTGGCAGCGACCTTTATATAGGCCTTGGACTCAGAGAAGCCTGGTATGAGTCAGCGTGGGTCCAGTACCCTAATTTGTAAGTAATCCTCTTAACTCCCATCTGAGTGCATCGTGAGGATTAAATTCGAGGATGAATCTTAAATGCTTAGCACGGCGCCTCTGGCTGAGCGTGCTCAGAAACAATGCCGGCCATTCTTCCCCTTCCATTGTTACTATTACTGTCAGCACTATCACTATTATTTCCCGGTCACTGCAGCCACTGACTGAATATGCAGCCAAATCACAATAGCCCCTTATCCAGAAGGTGGGCAAACAGGTCATTTTTCTGTTGGAATGGGCTTTCACTGTCCCACCAGGTATGTTTGGACATTGTGTTACAGATAAGAACAGGTCTCAGGTAAGTACAGGTGCGCAGGATAAATAGTTTAAAACCCCGTGTTCACGTGAAAGCAGGTGTGCGTCCTGGAAGGGAACCTGCCTCAGAAACAGCACAAGGCCTTTCGTTCTCGCGTCTAAGATGTAGAGCCGGGGAGCCAGGCCAGCGCCCCTCTTCCCAGCGCCGGTGGGGTCTGGGGCCGTTCCCCGTGCTGCTGTGGCTGCTCCGGACACCCGCAGGTGAAGATGCCATGCAGAGTGGGTGTCCCTGGTGTGCTGCATACTCCCTCCAGGATTTGACTCAGGCCTGGCTGGCTGGCGATGGTGAGCCCCCACAGCGAGGGAACTGCTGCAGCTGGGATGTGTGTCCCGGGGTTCTCCCTGGCTCGGTGCCGAAAGAACCCAGGCTGCTTGGAGAGACGCCTCACCTCAGGGGGGACTCACAGTCACAGGGTTTGAGAGATAAATCCTGGAGGCTGTCCTGTCTTTTTGTGACCCAGAAACTGAGGTCCCCAGAGGTGTGCGCATGTCCCTGGCCCCTGGCATCTGTGTTTGAGTGTCCTGGTGCTGCTGGGGCAAACGACCATAAACTGGGCAGCTTAGAACAATGGAAACTTGCTCTCCCAGAGTCTGGGGGCCAGAAGTCCACAGTCAACGTGTCGCTCCCTCCAGAGCTCCGGGGAGGGGGGGGGGCGTCCTGCCTGCCTCTTTCAGCCTCTGGGGGCTCCAGGCATCCCTGAACTTGTGGCTGTATCCCTCCTATCTCTGCCTCTGTCTTCACATGGCTTCGCCTCTCTCTGGGTCTCAACTCTGCTGTGTCTTCTTCTTAGGACACTGTCATTGGACATCAGTGGTCATAATCGCAGCCGTTGATTGAATGTGCACCAGGTGTGGACACTGGGTAGGAGGGTTCACGGTGCCCTTGGAGTCCCCACCACGAGGGGCTAGCCTTATCCTTCCCGTTGTGAAGATGGGACCCTGACAAAATATACTCATCCTTCAGAATGGGAGGCCAGTAGTGGGAGGGGAGCCGCTAACTGAGGGTCAAGCTGGGAGTGGGGCTGGAATGGCCAGGTGCCCAGGACCTGGGAGCCTGGTGGCCTTGGGGAGCATCTGTATTTGGAGCAGGGTCTCAAAGGACCCGTGGCAAGACCCAGCACCTGCACCTCTGCAGCCATGTCATGGGGAAGAGGGCCCTCGCCTGGGCAGGGCTGAGGGTGCCCTCCAGTCCAGGGGTCCAGAAAGGCCTCATGGATGCTGACGTCGGAGATGACCTTGAAGGGAAAGCAAGACTCACAGCCTTCCTTCTGCAGACAAATGTCCCTCAGGTCACGGTGAGCAGTGCCTCCTGTCTGGCGGGCTCCGTGGCACACCACTGACTGGGGTCATCCAGCCACTGCCCTGCTGCCGTTACCTCCCCTGGCAGGGCGGCCACCGCATCCCGTCGCTGCTCTCCAGAGTCAGATGCTAGCGGCTTCCTGAGTGTTCCCCTCGCCCCCCGAGAGTCGGGAGCCCCAGGGGTAGGGCGTGAGTCCGTTTTGTCTCCAGTCATGTCCCATGGTGCTGGGTGTCTGCCCCCATGCGCTGTGGGCATGAGGAGCTGCTCACGACCTGCCTTCAGGTGTCCTTTTCCTTCTGTGCAAGAGGAGACTTTCAAATGTTCCAGAAGTGACGAGACTGCCCATGTAGGAGGCAGCTTGTCACTGCGCGTCTGCCTGACAGGGCCCCGTGGAGCCCTGAGAACAGGACGCCCCAAACCACTATGTAATAATATAAAGCACACAAATCCGCCTTTCATTGGAAACCCAGCGAGCACTCTCCGTCACGCAGACACGCAAAGAGACTCCGCGTGTGCCAGCGCCGTGCACACGCGGCCTGCGCACTCCGGATAGGGAGGCTGCTGCCGCAGCGGTATTCTCAAGGCTGGCCCGAGAGACACACGCACGGCTGGTGAAGGGTCGACATTTCAGAGAAAATTTGGTTATTTTTTCTTCACTTGTTATTCTCAGTATTTTCTTCGGACACTGACACCTGTCCGTCTGCTCAGGCGCCATAACGAAGCGCCACAGATGGGGTGGTTGAAACAACAGGCATCTGTTTCTCAGGCTGGAGGCTGGAGGCCCAGATCTTGGTGCTGCGGGGCTGGCTTCCCTCTGAGGACGTGGCGTCTCCTCGGGCTGTGTGGAGACAGCCAGCCAGCTCTCCAGCCTCCCCAGATAGGGACGTTAATCGCACCCTGGCCCCACCCTCATGACCTCATCTAACTGAATCACCTCCTTAGAGGCTCAACTCCACATACAGCCACTCTGGGGGTTGGGGCTTCAACATGACTTTGGGGGACAGAAGCATTCAGCTCACAACACATAGGAGACACGATGTCACATGAACAAGGACCCTTTGTGATAACGGCGCCACGCACTGCGGTGAAGTGCACCCCTCTCCCTCGGTTTCCTCTTCCCCACCCCCGACCCCGCAGGCCCTCCGTTCTCTTCTCCCTCAGGCTGCAGAGACATGTGCTTAACAGTAATGTTAAGGAGCCTGGAAAAAGCACAGAGGCCCACAGGTCCCCCACTGGGGACCTCGGGAATGGACCTCTGCACTGAGGGGCCAGGGCCCCGAGTCACCCACTCGCTGACAACTGTGTGGTCTTATAAGACACTGATTTTTGAGGTTGTAGGTTACAGCAGCAACATTGTTTACACTGAGTAATAGAGAAGGAGAGGAATCTTATAAAAAGTCAAATAAAACCTGACAATCAATTGAGGAAAAGCAAATAGTGCGCTGAGCAGCGGCTGGTGGTAAGGACAGGTGCTCGGCCGAGAGGCGCCTCCCGCCAGGCCCGGCGCGGTGGGCTGGATGCTGAGCCCTGGGCAGCTGCCTCTCTCCCCTCTGAACAGGGCATGCTCCTTAGGGACCCTTTCATTAAACATCTCCTCTCTTGTATTCTTTTTTCTTTATTCCTTTTTTAGGGGTCCTTGACATTTATGTTAAGCATATTTCTCAATTAACATTTTATAGAGGTGAATGTAAAAAGAAATACACAATGATCTCTTTAATTTCTCCTGCTTTGGGTAGTAGACTCTCCGATTAAAACGTAGAGAAATATTTAGTTAATGGGAAAAAAAATGTATCGCTTTCATGGTTAACCATTACTGCTGCCCAGGACGACTGTGGAAAGTCTTGCTCATGGCTTTTCGAGAGAGAATTCATAGAAGGTTTACGTATTGAACTATCTATCACCCTTAGTTTTACGGGTTTTAAAAGTCAGCGGAAGAGAAATCATGACTAATGATCTTTGTCAGAAGACAGAGCATCTGTTATGGGGACTCAGGGAGTCTGTGAGGAATTAGAAGTAGTTTGGGTTTGGAAACATCCAGAGAAACCCAGCCTCTCGGGTTTCTGCTCTGTATCCTGCTATTTCCCCAATGGAGCCGGTGGGTGCCTGCCCTTCCCACCCCGCGTCTCCGTGGGCCCCGCCATGCTAAGTGATTGGTGTTTAAT